TAGGATGATCTGCCTTCACAGAGATGGGGAGCAGACTGATTTTCGAAATGTGCCAATTTGTATAGGTTTAACATCCCTTGCAGCACATAAAGGCTTTGAAGAGACGGGGCCTCTGAATTTACTATTCAACTCCGATAGGACCGAGCCAAATGGGGAAATTATGCCTTTCTCAAGACTCAAGGACACAGCGAGAGACCGCCCACGAATCCGCAATCACGATTACGAGTCCTGTAGCCTTACCACAAGACTGCCGACACCACCGTCTTATTTACCTTTATATGAAGATTTATTGGGTATGACTAGTAGGTACAAGAGCAACGTATCAGGTATGCAGCTGTTGAGACATTCGACTCATAACCTTTCTGTAGCAGAGACAATCGACGCTCCAGACTCTCTAGACTCCCTCGCGATCTTCTCCTACGGAATGTTCGGCACTCTATTAACTTCCTTGTTCTGCTTCATCCTTACCACAGACGTACGGGTTAACCCTAAACCACCACCCTTAGGATAACAAAATTGCGATGGGAGAAGGCAGGAAAATTCGACCAAAACAATGTAAATAGATCGACATGTAAAACGAAGTTACAGTAAAGTACATGCAATAGACTACGCACTCTCGATCCACCACAGAAAAGGTGAGTAAACATATTTGATATTTAAGTAGATATCTGATGCATATTGTGTGCTTTCTTTCGTATGTTTTTGAGGTAGGCCTATACGCTCCTGTTAACGAACAAAACATTGCGAAGCGCCTGAATGCATCTTCTTACGCGCTTATCTTTTGGTTCTTTTTTATCGCATTTCTCAGGACTCACCGTGTCTATCTTCCTTTACATAATACATCTTGGAAACATTACTGTTTCCTTCGCTCGGTTGCCTGTACTCCCTTACCCTCGTCTCTGTCTATCTCTGTCTCTCCCTGTCTCTCTCTGTCTCTTTCTTGCTCTTGCGCTCTCTCGCTCTTGCTCTCCCCCCTCTCTCGCTGTATCTGTTCGTCTATCTATCTGTGTTTGTCTTTCCTTCTTTTGGTCTGCCGGTGTGTCTGTCTGTCTGCTTATCCGTGTGTCTGTCTGTCTGCTTATCCGTGTGTCGGTCTGTCTGTCTGTCTGTCTGTCTGTCTGTCTGTCTGTCTGTCAGTCTGTCTGTCTGTCTGTCTGTCTGTCTGTCTGTCTGTCTGTCTCTCTCTCTGTCTCTGTCTCTCTCTCTCTGTGTCCCCTTCACAAATATTACCAAAACATGCTTAAAAAACCAACAACAAACAAACAAACAAAAATGCACAGATA